TTTTGGTATCCACTCACCAACACCATGAATATCAAAGTCAATCCTCAACTCCATAGAACTAAAGGTTGCTGACGTACGTATGATCAAGTCGCAGTGTGCCGTCCTCTCTGTCCTAAGGCCAACCATATTCTCCGCATTGGTCTAGAGTTCTTTTGCCACACTATCTTCCACAAATCGGCTCCTTACCCTCCCTCAATAGGAACAAAACTAATCCCCTTAGCCTCCCACACGCGCGTCGTCTGGAAGACAAATCGTTTGAGAGCGACCTGAGATTGAGGACGTCAAGGAAGAACTCTAGGAGGTGACAAAACGCTCAACAGAGACGTCGAACTCCTCTGTACAGGTCACTTCAGACGAGTCCACTCGTCATTAGTACCTAGCTACCTGTAGGCAACGAGAGGACGAGGAGGGCCCTCTGACAAGTCACCCGGCGAGGAAAGGTGCAGGAAGGGGGAGGTGGTTTGTGGATCGGGCGAACCCAAACTCGTCACTTCATAGGTGAGTTTGTTCAACCACTGTCGTGGGAAAGTGTTCCGAGGACGATCGCGGTAGTTCCCAAAAACCGAGTTATCAACTAGCGCATCGCTCGTCACTGCTGACGTCTGGACTCCACTCTCTCTAACATTTCATAGCGCAGCATAAATTGGTCGGTGCAATAGAGGAACTACTCAGCGTCACATCGTAGACTATACCACCTCATACAGGGTTCTCGCGTCGTACAACTTGACGACTTTTTATTTGTACAAAATTTTATATACTTGGATGCACATAAGTCTAAATGAAATGTTGTACTACATCATTGTACGATGTTGCGGGAGGAACCTACAATGTTATTTGAACTCTGTTCTCCGTGAAAGGTACACTTCTGTAACGATCGGATCGATGGAGTTAGCCGGCAGAGTGACACGCGTCTCTCTGAAATTATAGACACGGTAGAAACAACGAATTTTGCGTGTCGAGGGTTTTTTCTCTCAACGAGAAGACCTTTACGACTTAACCCGCCTGTGAGCTGGTGGGTTCGTTTAACTCACCCTCCCGCAAATCCGGTCTTACTGGACGTTGTTGTCGTTTGTAATCTAATGTAACATAACAGTAACACCCATTTTCGTTGCGTAAATATCGGCAACACCGTCTTTCGCGTGTGTTACGCAGACCTAAACAATAACAGTACGGTCAGGATTTTATGAAAATTTTTTTTACTTTACGTCAACCGTAATTTGGTCAACCTTACGTTAGTATATCAACATCAAGTCATTCTAGTTTTTCCGTATTACACATACCCGTATCCTATTTGCTATCAACGTCAGAGCAAATTTGGGACTTCTGTCCTCTGGGGGGAGACCGTGGGAAAAGTTACAGGAGTAGTGGTGCAAACTACTATGGCACCACGAAGATGGTCTACTCGTGCTGACGGGAGCTGCCCCTCCCCCGCCGCCTATCGCCGCAGAGGACGAGACAAACCCGCGTCCTATATTTCCAACTTAAATCTCATGTCAAAATCACTGTTGAGCCTCTGAGTCTCGCGAGTGTCTTACAACAATTAAATATGACGTTGATGTCATAATTTTTTCCAACAAAAGAATTAACCATAATGGGTATAAATTTTGGTTATTATGGAAAATTTTACATACCAGGACAACCTGTGAATCAAGATTGTATGATCGTACCAATAGTTGCTTCGGATACGATTTCACTTGTTAATAGTGTAGCTGGATGGATCAACACGCTGCGCGTACCATCCGGTTCTAGAGGCCTGAATTCATATATAAGGGCTTTCCAGGACTTCATTTTCTAGTCGAGAAATCCCTGCGAATTACGGACGGGCACTGGTGAGCTCGAGGAAAGGTTACCAAGATTGGACGTCATTTGCCAAACCACTTTTATCCCCTCTTCTTGTTTAACATTCACACTTTCTAGAGTGTGTTGGAGTCAAATCCAATGTACGTTTTTGATTCTATGTAAGGAAACACAACCATCATCCTCATCCGCGCTCTCCGCGCCCCACACACCATCGCCCACTCATTGTGCGCCCACCTCTGCGCCGCTCAGCTCGACCACCTCTCTCAAGACCGTCCCCGCCCTCCTCCCCCGCCGCGAGCAGAAACGTTGCGTTCTACTTCAAAGAGCACCTGTAGAAAAGGCGACACCCGCCCCGACTCGACGACGATCAGAAGACCAGCACCGTACCCACGACCCGCAACATATCCTCTACCGCTCCCATCATGGAGGGCGCACAGACCAACGGCCCCCCGCAAGACTCCGCCGACAGGCCCTACTCTGCAGCAACATAAAGCCTTTTCAATCATAATATCAGTTACCTCTCTCTTTCTAATAGAATAGCTAGGGCCAACTTAAGCTTTGGTTGTTTAATGTGTATACTGAAAACAGTTAAATTTTCTATAAAACCGTTCAGTTTTTTTAACTTTACACAGCATTGTTGACACTGTCATTGTGAAGAAAAACTGCTTCTGGTCGTTATCAGCGTATGTAGAGGGCAGCGCGTAGTGTGTGGTTCTTGCCGGCAGATGCACCGTGTAAGTCGAAGAAAGATCAACGATAAAAGTATAGACATCATAAGTTGTCAAAATTGCTGTTTGACTCAAAAAATGTACCTATTCACTAACAATATTCTACTGTTTGCTAGTATTCCATTTAGCAAACCGTGTTAAGGTTTGTCACGTAGTGTTCATATTGCGAATTAGGAGGTTTCTTTGATCCGGCCACATCATACGGACTAGAGAGAGAGGGATTGTCGGGGACGACTATGGCTCATGTTAGCTCCGCAAATAAAAGAAAGAAGTCACAAGACTATTGTACCCTGTGGTTAATACAAACGATAAGGCAACCCATAAACATTCTGTTGCTGTTTCAATTCCCCTGGTATAGAAGAGGAAATGTTTGGCTTTGGTTTCGGTGTTAATGATGCTACTGTACGAATACATCGTTAGACCGTTGACAGATGGTCTTCGTGTGATTGTTCTGTAGCTTAAATAGTTTGAAAAACAAGAGAATAAATATGTTAAGGTGTGGCACTCCGGACGACTAGTCCTTAACGGGCTGTGCAATCCAGGATCACCTGTGTGTCTGGGAAATCTTTGAATGCCTCTGGGAGTGGGCTTGAACTTCTGCAGGTGTAAGCCAGATGCACTGACCCCAATAAAGTTGTAAGAAAACTCGTTCATTTTGCAATGATGCGGCTCACAGTGGACTGGTGTATGTTGAAGCGGTTTGCAAGGTCCCTCTCTTTCAAACCCACCGATAGGAAGCAGAGAAGAATTCGTCAATTGGCTGAAGCAGCTGTCTCTGGAAGATACAAACAAAAAAGGGTACTATATTAATGTCATGAGTGTAGCACACCATGGGAAAAACATTAAGTTGTTTTAGTTCTCTGATGTATTCAAAAAGGATTGAGTACTATAGCCTTTTAGCCTACACGAAAGCAATGAAATGTCGGAGAAACATTTTCCCTTCAGTTTGTGTTTAGATTGTGTGTTAAAAGAAACGTAGCACACACGGCATCTATTGCACGTCTGTCCGTCCTGGGAGAGGGATCCCTCCTCTGTTGCTCTCCCTGAGGTTTCTCCCTATTTTTCCCTTTAAACTGTGGGTTTTCTTGGTAAGTTTTTCCTTGTACGATGTGAGGGTCTAACGACAGAGGGTGTCGTGTTGTCATACTGATATTCTGTACACACTGTGAAGTCCA